GTTGGTCTGGGTGAGAAGGATCAGGAAGCAGTATTGGTTCCCCAGGTGTCCAGGGCCCCAAGACTAGGAATGGCACAGGGCCCAAGCTAGGAGTAGAGAACAGCGGGGGAGATGGAAGGGTGAGCACGGCTGATGGAGTCAAGGTGCGGAGGGCTGCACGGTAGACTTACCCCCAGAGAGGCCTGAGGGCAGGAGAGCGGGCCAGGAGAGTTCCAAAATGGATTTTTTGAAAAAAGATTTTTTAGAGCATCTGGCAAGGTGTCTGACCTGTTTGCTCTTTCATCTCTATGTCAAAGTTGTAAACATGTAAAAGTCTTAACAGTACTGTGACTTGCTGTGCTGTTGCTGTGTGCTGCCTACAAGAGCCCACTGCTGAGTTTCTAGGAGTTTTAGAAGCAAATTGTTAAGTACAGCCTTTATTAAAAATTAAATTGCATTAACTTACAATTAAATAAATTATAATAAAAACTAAGGTACTGTCTATTAAAAATTCATTACTTCTTAATTGTTTTACTACTCTGTGTGTTTTGCAAGGTTATTTATGTTATTGTATCTGCCCAAAGAGGTCCCTACCATGGGTCTTCTCAGGACTGGGGATGTGGCTCAGTTGGTAGAGTGCTTACTTTGCATGCACAAAGCCATGAGTTCCATCCTTAGCATCGTGTAACCAGGTATGGCAGCACATACCTATAATCCCAGCACTCAGGAGGTGGAGGCAGGAGCATCAGAAGTTCAAGGTCATCCTTGAGTATGGAGTTTAATGCAAGTCTGGGCCTCATGAGAGCCTCTCTTTAAAAAATTTTTATTTATTTATTTTTTATGTGGATGAGTGTTTTATCAGCATGCATGTAAGTGCACCACATGCATGCAATGCCCAAGGGGGCCAGAAGAGGGTGTCAGATCCCCTGGAACTGGAGTTGTGACTTGTCATGTGAGTGCTGGGAATCGAACCTATGTCCTGTGCAAGAGCAATCAGTGATCTTAATCACTGAGCCATCTCTTCAGCTCCAAGATTTCTCTTTAAGGAAAAATAAAATCTAAGGCCAGCTGATGGCTCAGCTGCATGAGCTCTAGAATTCATATAAAGGTTAAAGGAGAGAACCAACTCCAAATAGTTGTCTTCTGACCTCCACATGAGTGCTACAGTATGGATGCTCCCTCCCATACAAGCAAATAATAGACTTTTAAAAATAAGTAAGTAAAAGGCTTGCTCCATGTTCAGAGCATGGCTCCAACCTCTTCCCATTCTGCAGAGGGCCCAGGGACATGGCTGACCTCTCTTTATCAGTGCATCCCCACAGGCTGCTGGCTCCATGTTCCTGTTAGTGGATGGCCAGCTATTGATTGCCTTGATGCCTCTCAGAATGGCCTGGACTGGGCTGGGTGCCAGCAGCTTAATGCAGACCACTTTGTTCAGCAGGCATTCAAGTGCAGCTTTTAGATGAGACATAAGGAAAGGCGCTGTGAGAGCGTAAGGGAGCTGGGGAAGGGGATGATGCAGGATCTGTCTGCCCACAGTGAGCTAGAGCTGGAGGAGGAGAGCTGGTCAACTGTGGGTCACAGGATTCAAAGAGCTCACCTTAAGGAATCCCACTGTTTACTTTCATCTGGTTGACTTTGGGAATGTTAGGTAACCTTTCTGAGCCTTCATCCCCACCCCACACATCTTCCCATGTGCCTAAATCACGGGTTTGTTGTGAGAGTTAAAGATAATGTCTAACCCTACTGGATCCCAGGGTTACATATGGCTCAGTCTCTGCTTAAAGCCTCATCTAAAAAAGTTATAATCTAGGCCTGGGGCTATATAGTTCAGTCGGTATAGTGTTTGCCTAGGATGCATGAAGTACTGGGTTTGATTCCCAGTTCCAAATGACCAGACGTGGTGGTGCACACCTGTAATCCCAGCACTTAGGAGGCAGAGGTAGGAGAACAAAGGATTCAAAGCTATCCTTACCCACATAGCAAGCTTGAAGCAAGACAGGACTACATGAGACCCTAAACTTGACTTGATAGGCTTTAACACATATGACAGAATGCGTGAAATCCTGTGGGCAGGTTATGGGAAGGAGTGTAGATAGAGGAGGGTGTCTAAAGATGATTAAGATGTATTATATGAAATCCACAAAAAAAACAATAAAAATATACTTCGAAACAACAACCAAAAAGCAAATGGAAATGGAGAGATGGCTCAGCACTCACACATGCACAGAAAGCAGAAATTTTAAATCAATACATATGCATGTGGTGTGTGTGTGTGTGTGTGTGTGTGTGTGTGTGTGTGTACACATAGTTGAATAGCACAAGAGTGATTTGGGGCTGGAGAGATGATTCAGCAGTTAAGAGCTGCTATTGCAGAGGACCTGAGTTCAGTTTCCAGGACCCACATGGCAGCTAATAACTGTCTGCAACTCCAGGTCCATGGGATCTGATGCCCTTTTCTGGCCTCCATGGGCATTACATGACACGGGTGCACTTACATACATGCAGACAAAACTCTGATACACATAAAAATAAAAGTTTTTAAAAGAATAATTGAAACATACTTCAAACCCATGGTATGTGGGAAAGGACCTCACTGGTAATGACAGCAGCACTTTCCAGTCCTTGCCACCATTCTGGAACTTTCTGAAACATTCAGCACACTCATATGCCGCTGGGGCCAGCCTCTGAAGCTTCCCATGCTATCATACACTGACGTTTCCTCCGGGCTTCTTTTTTTCCTACACCTCCTACCCCTGCTGATATGTACCCAAAAGACTGAAGAGTTTGGAAATGAGCATAGAGCCACTGAGACAGGAGTTGGGGGTATGGTCACCGTAAGCCACACAGGCCTTGCCGGTGCCCCAGCACTGGAAAAGTGGTAAGAAGGTAAGTGGTGCCCTGCCCATAGGACCTCAAACTTGCCTGAGGGGCTGTGATGGAAAACCTCCTTACCTTCTTCCCTCTAGATGCTCCCCAAATATCTGCAAAGTCTGCCAGCTGAAGACTGCGTCCATCTACTATTCTTCTCCTCTGCCGCCTTCAAAGCCACTAAGCACAGACCAGTCACTCCTCCACCCACACATCCCTCATCTGAGTTTCTGCAACTCCTCAGCCAGCTCACCACATACCTCAGCTCACACATTGAGTACCTACTATGTGCCAGGTCGCAGAGGGCTGCAGGTTCACAGGCAAAGATGGCACAGCCCCTGTCCTCTGCTGCTCACTAGCCAACAGAAGCAGGCTGCAGACAAGACCCAGCTTTGTTAGGATAGGCATGAGAATAGGGTGCTGAGGGAGCACAGAGTGCCAGGGGAGCAGGGGAGGGTGGCTGCAGCTGACCCTTCAGGGTGTCTCCATGAAGGGTGCTGGCGTTTATGCGAGGTTTTAAAGAATTCTTGTTCAGGACCTGGGGAGGGCAGGTTTTTTTATGCTTGAGGGGGATAACCTTGACACTTTTATCAGAGCATGGGAATGTCCAAGGCCTCCAGTCTGCTAGAAAAAAAGCCTGCAGCTTGCTGGGTCACAGATGTCAAGGCATGCTGTTATTTTCAGTCAGGACACAGAGAGGAGGTGAGGAGCCCTGAGGGGCCCTACTCCAGCTGAGGAGGCCAGGATAAGAGTTCCCCTTTCTGAGATACTCTGAGGCCACCAAACTAATGCCTTGTCTCTCTCCTCTGCAGACAGGCAGGATTGAACCGAACTACCCCAAGGTATGCGGTCACCAAGGCAACGTGCTGGACATCAAGTGGAACCCCTTCATTGACAACATAATTGCCTCGTGCTCTGAAGATACCTCTGTGAGCTGGGCAGAGGGTGGTCCTCCAAAGTGGTCTTGGGCACTGGTCTGATTCCCCCAGGGAGCGTCTGTCCCTACACTGTCCTCCGTCTCCTTCAAGCCCTGTTTGCACCCTCTCCCTTCTCCTCCAGCACTAGAATAGAGAAGATGGGATGGGGGGGGGTGGTCAGGAAAGTCCCGAGGGAGCAAATCTTTGCTGGACACACCTTGTGCTTCAGTGTGGTTGAGTTGGGAAGTGTTGTTTTGTAGGTGAGAATTAGAACCAAAAAATTAAGTGTGTGATTCAGTCCCGCCTGTGGTGCTATGACGCAGGGGAGGAGGGAACATGAGGAAGGAAGGAGGGGAGGGAAAGAGTGAGCCAAGCAGAGGAGGGCTTAGCCTGGCAGGCTCACATGGCAAATGTTCCCTAGTTTGTCCTCTGGGAGCTGTGGCTTCAAGGACTGTTATGACTGTCAAGGACCACTCTGGGGGCACAGAATTCCAACTTCTGTCCTACCTTTCATGGAAAGATGGTCTAAATAGAAGGGAACAGGAAAGCGAGAGTAGAGAAGAGGGGATGGGTAGAGAGCAGAGCTGGAGATAGGAGAAAACAAGAGGGGCTGGAGAGATGGCTCAAGTTGGTAAAGGGCTTGGTGTACAGGCAGGAGAGCCCCAGTTCAATGCCCATAGATGGAGATAGAAGAGACAGTGTAGAGAGAGAGAGCTCAAGAATCCAGGGGTAATGACATCAAGGTGGCTTTGTGTCCCCCCCCCTCCCCTTAGGTACTGCTGCCTCACAGGAGCAGTAGGACAGAGGAACCACAGTAGTGCGAGTTGTCTGGGAGGGCCATACCACTCCTGAGCAGTGTCAACATGCCAGCTTGTGAACAAGAGTGGGAGTCAGTCTTAGCCAAGCTGGTGTGGGGTTCCTCAGTTCCCAGGTGAGGGAGGCTCTGCTTTTCAGCCAGGCTACTGTGGCTACCCAGGGCTCACTGGCACAGTCTGAGGACTGGCCATGTTCCTAGAATATTGGAACTAGAAGGGACTTCTGAGCTATGCCTCCCGGTCTCCCCAGCTGGACTGTGAAGTCCAGGGGTAAGAGAGTAGAACCAAATGGCTCTGAATCCCCAGCTTCTAGCACAGAGCCCAATACCTAAAAAAACCTCTTGCTTTGGATTGGATGGATAGATGGAAGCAGGCATTCATGGATGCATGAATAGATAGATGGAAGATGCATGGATGGACAGATGGAAGTATGCATGGATGTATACATGCATGGGTAGGTATATGTACATAGATAGAGAGGCACAGGTGGATAGATGGGTGCATGAATGGATGCACAAATGCATGTATGGATGGATGCATGAGCTAATAGATGGTTGAATGCATGGATGATGGATGGATAGAGGATAGATGATAGATATATAGATAGATGATAGATATATAGATGATAGATAGATAGGTAGGAAGATAGATAGATGATAGATAAAAATTAAATAACTAAGTGAGTGATGAATATGGTCCAAGTATCCAATGATTGGTGGTGCACGCCTTTAATCCCAGCACATGGGAGGTAGAGGCAGACAGATCTCTGTGAGATTGAGGCCAGCCTGGTCTACACAGCACGTTCTAGACCAACTGGGGCTACAGAGACACCCTGTCTCAAAAAAACAGAGAGAGAGAGAGAGAGAGAGAGAGAGAGAGAGAGAGAGAGAAAGAAGCAAATCCATGAATTCATTGAGTTGAGGGTAAGGTCAGCAGATACAGAACTTACATTGGAGAGTGGTGGAGAAGGAGGTGGGTGAGGGATGGAGAGGGCTTGACAGCTGGAGAGGATTCCTGAGAGTAGCATCCGTGAAGGCAGAGCTTGAGAGAACAGTGAATGGAAGTACTAGAGAAAGGCTGTTGGGTTTTCTTACTTTCTTTTGCAGCTTTGGAGCCCAAGTGACAAGGGGACAGCTATGAGAGGCTAGGTCATGGAAGTCTAAGGCTGCAGAAGTGTGGACAGGAGCTGGAGGAGCCCAGGAAAGGGGGCAGGGCCTTGGGGGGGGCACTGGTTGCTCCTTGGGTTGTGAAGGAGACAGATGGAGCTGGTGTGAATTGGGATGTTCCATGATCAGCTCAAGAAAAGACCAGGGCTCAGCAAGAAAGAGAGCAGGCAAGGTGCTGCCCTTCCAGGGAGCCTAGAAGGAATGTAGTGATTGCATACAGCTCTGTTCCACACCCCACCCCACACACACCCCACTGAAGTCTGTCACCAGCTAGGAGGGAACAGTTGAGACTTGGGGTTCTTGTATGCACTCTAAACTGGGCGCTTCACATGCATGTAAGCCTCTGGCCACTTTGTGAAACAGGCACTAGGGAGGGCCAGAGGGAAGGTGTAACATACAGCTGGTGGTAGAGGACCCAGCTGGGAGAGAGAAAGAAAGAGGCCCCTCTCAGTACGGGAAGGAACAGATCAGGACCCAGCTCTTGGGACTGCTGGCTCCTTCACAATACAACTTGCTTCATCTACATCAGGACGAGATGAACCTGCCTGATACTAGTTTAGCCTCTTCTTCCACCTCATGCTGCCTCCTACTCCTAGATGCAGCTAGTGCATAAGACACCTGTGGTGTGTGTTCAGACAAGCACAAGGCCTTGCCCTATCACAGGAGCCAAGAGACCAGCACCTACTGATTGACAGTCTATGACAAGTGGGCTTCTGGGATCCAGAGAGCACAATTGTAGAATCTGGACAACCTAGGATGGGAACCTCAGCATTATGACTTACCAGCTGTGTGACCGAGGGCATGTGGCTTTGCCTCATTGGGCCTTGGCTTTGCTCATCTCTAAACAGCAAAAATGAGACCCACTCCTCAGCAGCTATGAGGGGAATGTAAGAAGCCTGTGCCTAGCCCTGTGCCTGGCACCTCACAGATGCCAGCTGGTCTCAGTCCTGCTCTGTAAATAGTACCAGCAGGGAGGGTAGAGCCCCCTGCTTGTTAGACAGAAAGAATCAGGTGCAGTGAAGAGGAGTCAGGGTTGTCACTGCAGTCTCACAAGCAGTATACACAGATAGGAGAGGGGACTAATGCTGGCTCAGGGGTGAGAAAAGGAGGATTGGGAGAGCTGGACCTGGAAGACTCGGGATTTGTTACTGGTGTCATTAGGGTCAGAGCCTGAACTCAGGCATCCCTAACATGCCAAGGTGGATCCCCTCATCTACAGTAGACCAATGAAACAGACAAGTAATAGCAAAAAAAACCAGAGAAAGATTTATTCAATATGGCTTCATTGGGAAGAGGAACAAAAAGATCCAGTGCAGTGACCCCCCAAATCCATTTAGGGATCCTGACATGAGGTTTTGATTTAAATAGAGGGCAAGATGTGTGAAAAGCTAAGCCCTGGTCATGGTGTGGTCCCCACCATCACTTAGCTCCAGTCTCTCTTGCAAGATGGGCTGACACATTGTCAGAACTCCCTGAAATCTCCTGTGCAACTAGCTTCCCCTCTGGCTGACACAATGCTCCCCTTCTTCCCTCTCCCAGCATGAGAACAATTTCCTGGGGAAATTCCAATTTCTGGAGGGCCACTGTTCAACAATCTGTTAGACAGAGGGAAGGGCACAAGTATCTTTAAAATAGCTTCATCTCTGCCAGTATAATTACACTTTTGACCACTAAAGAAAGGGTTAAAACAGGCCCAGGAAAAGCTCCAGCTCAGGCCAAGGCCTGGAGGGAGTGCATAGGGTGCCCTCCAAAGGGAGAATCCTCTGGCTGGCTGGCTGGAGTCCTAAGTGATGTCAGTAGGGGAGTGGGCAGGAGAGAAGGCTGTAAAGGAAGGTAGACAGATAAAGCACGAAAGGCAGGGTGAGTTCTTTAACTTGGAAGTGACACCTAGGCTTCTCAATGCAGGGAATGAGTGTGGAGCAGGAGCCACAGTAAAGGGGTTACAGCCAGCTTTGTGGAGGAGGTGCGGCTCCAGTTAGCTGGGTATCTGGGTACAGGCTGCAGTGTGGATGAGTAGGAGGAGGACACAGACACACATACAGACAGACAGACAGACAGACAGACACACATACACACACACACACACACACACATACAGACAGACAGACAGACAGACACACACACACACACACACACACACACACACACACACACACACACACCCAGGCTACTGATCTAGATAGGAGTTTAAGTCTGAGATCAGGAACAAGCTAAGCTCTTTGGCAGCTGCCCCAGAAGCCAGGCTCAGGGTCCTACATCAGCCTTCAGGTTTCTGCCCCCCCCACCCTATCTGGTGCCCAGGACCTTGGCATTGGAGCCCATAGGCCCCAAGACTGAAGCTCAGCTGCTCCTGGAGAAAGGTACCCCAAGGCAGAGGTTACAAGGGAGTCTGTGCCCCAAGCAGGTCCCCATCTTCCTCTCCTACCACCTCACTAAGGTCCTGAGTCTACAGGGTGGAACATGAGGCTCAGAGCCTTGGCAGGCTGACAGTCTAGATCCATCCCACATTCTATATTTGCATCATGGCATCTTCTCAGTGTGGCTAGTGTTGAGTATCTTTTAAATATCTTCATTTCTGTTGAATGGCACTGAACACTCATGCAAGGGAGGCCTCCCCACCTGGGTCTGGAAAACAATGCCTGAGTGGCCTCTGGCTAGCCTTCCTGCCCCAATCGAAGCACTTCAAGGCACAGGCATAGATCCCCAAGGCTCCCTCTATGGACCTATTTCAGCATGAAAAGTCAACTTACTGTACATCAAGCATGCAGAGGCAGGGCTAGCAGGTCCATGGGTGAGGCCCCTGTATACCAGGCACCGTGCCCCCTACCAGGGCTGAGACTACCAGTCTGAAGGGGTCCAGAAAGAAGCTTTTGCTGCAGGTCTGGTCCTTTCCCCAGTGCAGGCCTTCCCATCCTTCCCTGAATCTAAGGCTTCCTGGTCCCAGATCATTTAGAGGATGCTAAAAGGTTATAGGGAGCCACTTGCTGCTCTTCCCCATCCCTCACCCCAGGGAAGCCTTCAATGCAGTCAG